AGCTTTTTACACTCACTTTTAGAGTTTGTCTTAGCACAAAAATTTATCTCATCAAAATTAAAACTGATTTCACTTCATCCTTTCCAGTCCAGGGTGATGATTCAAGCAATCAGAAAACTTTTACTGCATCAAGTACTAGTGTATATCAAGTCAAAATTTCACACTCGTCACATACCGATGACAAAATCTCCTTCAAAACATGTGAAACCACCACATCTACTGGTTGTAGGTCAGCTACAGCAGCTCCTGGTTCCCCGTGCTGGAAAAGAGAAAACAGTGCACACAATTTGATAATGCAGAAGTAAAGATCACTGAATTCTAATAGTCTGTCAGCACTTAACCGCTCCCGCACAAAAGATCTTGGAAGCTTCAACCGTAGCACAGAGGTTGCAAATTTTGACACACATTTCAAAAGACCCAACTGCTCTTACCATTGAAAAAAGCAACACCGAATAACCAAGTGTTATAGACAGAGAAGATATGAACGACATGCATGGCATCCAAGGTAATTCACATGATTATCACGTCTCCCCGAAACATCAATGTAACATCATATGTTTCATTTAGTAAAGCATGATTTAGTCAACTTCTTCCCATTCCTAATATATAGATGAATACACCTGTGCCTATGAAGAGAACTTACTATTCCAAGACCAAGCTCCATCTTTCCTGGGCCTAAACGGTCTGATGTCACCTGTCCTGGCAATGTGCAAACAGATAATGCAACACCCATTGTCCCAACCATTTCTGATGCACGTTTTGCTTCAGCTGCAACGTCAGCAAGAGGAAGACCACAAGCTGCTGCAGCTCCGGCAACCTGAGATAAGTGAAACTTAGAAAAGATCAGCAGAAAAGCAACTGAAACCAATTACATTTGCATTGACTTGACCAAACTTCAATACTGCGAGACGTATAGGTAAAATGATTGCTGCCCACAAATAAGCCACTCTCACATGAAATTAAATTCAACAAAGAAATAGAAAAGACCAGTTTGGTCTTTTTCTTAGTATGTATAGTTATGAAAGAAGCACAAAATCAATTCACATACCCTCTATAACAAAGCATTGAAGAAGCAACTTGTCAAAAGACCACGACAATTTGGCAAATGAAAATTTGGTGCTCTCTAGATTATTTTGGTAATTGGCCCCCCACACCCCACCACCCAAAATAACCCCAAAGCACACACATAGATACACCCAAAAGAGAAAAAAGAGAAATGTGCAAAAACATAGGATGATAGACATACACCTAGAATCACCTTAGTAAGAAATTTTCGTTGCTGTATCTTCTTTTTTACCAAATCAAGTTGGCATTATGTTTCGCTACTCCAAAAGAGTTAAAGGCCACCATGGATGGAAATTTGCAAGTAGGTGTGAAGATTAGTATACATGAGCAAATATCTGTATACGTTATTTTAGTCTTTAATAGGCTCTTTTAGCTTTTAGGAGTTGGAGGTCTTAGTAAAGATCTATCACTCTCAAATGTTTATTATCAGTAACTATCTGTCTCAGATAGAATACCAAGAAAGAAAATGGAGATGGAAAAGGAAAGTAACAAGTTTTGATTTTTCAGAAACCACCAAGAGGTAAACTATGTCCTAACTAATGTCTTTTTAAAGGGGAGACACACACAAAAGAAGAACTCCTGTATATTTTATAGGTGGTATCATTAGGAGAAGTTTGATTTGAACTGTGGAATATCGTACCAGCTTCAATCAGTCAATAACTTAAGTCAAATATCTGAGCCCTCTAAAATGAAATCTAAAAGACATGCACAAAGATAGAAATTGTGAACCTTGTGAACAAGAATCGTCCCTGCCAAACCTCTTCGGCCAGCAATGCCTCTTGGAGGTGGTAAAGCACAGTCATCACCAACAATTACCATCTGGTGACAAAGAGAGATATATATACATGTGAAATCAGTGTGAACCCCATCTTCCAGTTTTTGAATGATTAATTAGCTACTCCAATCATCATCATCATCAATAATAATATAACAACAATATCAAGAAAACAATTCTAGAAATTAATATCACAATGATACCTCTACTTTGTAACCTTCAGATTTAGCTTGTTCAGCAGCCAAACCAAAATTCAATCGATCACCAGTATAGTTCTGTAAGGGACCATAATACATTTTAATCATTATATCACTTCATTACGACAAAAAGTGAAGAATGTAATAGTGATCCACGACAAATTTCTCGTCACAGTAAACATTCCAGTTTAATCAAAAGTAGGATGATGATTGGTGATCTTTTACGTGAATTATTCACACAATTTAAACCTAAAAGCCAGAGTTAGACAACAAGAGAGTAATTAATTAACAACAAGGATTCGTGCTACCTTGACAATCAGAAGGCACCCCATGGGACCTGTGACAGCTCGTATGCCCTACATTGAATCAGGTTAGTTGGCAGACATCATCAAGGAAGAACATATGTAGACCATGTGCTAATCAAGGGGTAATATTATATCATACAGCAACAATTGAGTCAACATTTGGAGAGGTAAAAACGTCCCCACAGATGGCTGCAGTCAGCATCCCTTCTCCAACAAATCCAGCATGGGCAGGTTCATGGCCACTTCCACCACCTAATCATAGAAGTACCAAGGTACCTGATTAAACTGCACTTCGCCATACTGAAGTTCCAACAATACATCCCAAGTTTGAGTTTGAGATTCTTAAGAACACTATTTAGTCATTAATATTCCTATATATTAGTAGTAAATGACGGCTATAGGCAAGGCTGTGACGTACATCTGGGTTTTCAGAAGTTAAAGAAGATACAAAGATGGGATGTAGTTCCTTTGACTATTATGTGGGTAATCTGAAAAGAAAGGAAAGAGAGCCTTGAAGGTGTGGAAAATAATTTGTGCAGATGAGGGCGTGTCTATTGTTTCTAGTAAACCTTTGGTGAATCCATGAGGTTTCTGTTAGTATATGTTTGGGTGTTATTTGTAAAGAACCATGTCTTTTTTAGGTCCTATACTCTTGCATGCCACTTTTATACCGGGAATTTTTTACCACATTGACAAAACTGTTGCTCTATCAAATAAAAATGATTATAAGAATCTCATAAACAACTGCTATTTTCTTTCAGAAGAGGTGAGCACGCAATGCATAAGAGACCTGTAGTATAACTCATTATAAGAAGCTTTATAATTTCATAATTATACAATTAGATTAGTTTGTCAAGCTTCATCTATTTCCAACTCATGTATGGAGCTCTGAATGCAAAAATACCAATGCTACTAATAAAAAGCAAGTTCCAGTATTGAAATAGAGACAGAAGCATAGCTCAAATTCAATACCTGATATGACCGCAACTTTGTCATATTTTTCCCCAGAAACATCAGCACGCAAGACAACCTTAACCTGGATTTCAGAACAGAAGATAAACATGTTAGACCAACTTGGAACACTTATCATCTTAGTATAGCAACATGTAAACAAAAAGAGTGAACAAAGTAACAAAAGCCGGATCACCTCAGGAAAACCATCCAGATATTGCAACCCAGGATAGGTCTCAATAAGTCCCTCAATGAACTCTATCACAACATCTGCAAATCATTTCACTTCAGTATCTACAGAAAATAAACATTTAGGCTTTTTGTATACCATATATGACCAATAACACCTATAATAATTTTCACCAGAACCATATAGCATTTAATTATGCCAATATAGATCATACACATAACAGTACCTACATACACATTGAAACAGAACAGGATATCACTCAACTATGCTTCAATTCAAAATTGGTTGTCATCAGCTATATGAACCTTATATATGCATTCTGCACTATTCAGGTCCCTTTCAATACAATACTATTCATTTGTCTTTAATGTAAATTAAGCACAACAACAGGTAGCCCAGCTAAAATATACTAGGGGAAAACAAAACATTTCATTTTCTTTTAATTCCCCTACGACCACGTATGGTCTGTATACAGGTTCTATGTCAACTTATTTTGTTTGTTGTGATAACTATTAGAAATTAGTAATTCTTTGAATACCTACAAGTGTCTTATTACTATACTCAGTTGCTTTCATTTCCAAGCAGATTGTTCGGGCATTCAAAAAAGAATTTCTTCTGCTTAATATCTAGTTTTTTTTTGTTGGAATTTTTAACTCGTGCCTTTATTTTGGGCAAATAGTTGCATTTTATGGTACTCTGCTTGATGTCTAGTTTTTCCTCATTTTTCATTGAAATTTTAGCCTCCCTGTGTAGTTTTTTGGGGTTTTAATGCATTTTTAGTGTACTCTGTTTAATATCTAGGTTTTCTGCTTCTTTCTTTTTCAAAATTTTAGTTGCTCTCTCAGGGAAAATGCTTTTAGTGCTTAAAATTTGAACTTATTGAATTTTAGTCATGCTTTTAGGGAACATATGCTATGTGAGTGGCATGTGTTAGGCTAGATCCCTGCTTGGGCAACGACGTCCTAGCCCGCATGCCATCTCAGTCATGGCACAAGTTCAAGTTAGGCTCGTTCGGGGGTCGGTTTCTTGTGTTGCATACCTAATGCCAATTATCATGTACCCAAAGAATATATTTGGGGGTTTAATAAATTTCCTTTATATCTTTAGAGCTCGTGCATAAATTGTTTTTTGGGGATATTAGCGCATCTTTTCGATTTTTGGATTTTATCTAGATTCTTTTGCTCATATATGTTTGAATATTTAGCTCTCACGTTAATTTTTCTTTTGTGCTTAATATGTAGGTGCTTACTCATTTTTTCTTTGAATTTTTTGCCATTGCATGTTAAAAGTATGTAAATTTGGATGTTGATGCATTTTACAGAGTGTATTGTGCTTAATTGTGATTAACAAAACACGATTATTCCGAGAAGAATGTGGAGTCTAATCTGTGGCTACTTATTCAGTTTGAGAGTTTTAGTTGTTTAGAAGCAGATAGATGAAATTATAAAGCTGTTTTATTTGCCTAGATGGTTTTCTAAGACTTCAATAGTAGTGGTTGATGTAAGCTGTTTATAGTAGTGACTGATCTTTGATGAATGCAGAGGCATTGATTTTGCCATTGCAAACCAGGAGGTTCCAAATAAAGCTCAAGATTTACCTCTACTGGTGAAACAGGTACTCTTGTAACATGATGCCGATTTCATCATATTGCAATAACTTCATTGATCTGATTATGAGTTGTGTAGCATAAAGCGCTAATGTTAAATCAGGATACATGTTGTATTGGTTTCGATAATATACCTTCAAGTGCCAATCAACTAGCTCATGATCACCTCATCTAATCTGGTACTCTTTGATCGAAAAAGCATTTTTCATTCTTAGTTCTTATAATGTTAACTTGGGTTATGGAGCAGTAATTTTCTAAAGATTAGTTCATGGGTAATTTGTAAGTATGTTTTCTTAATTCTGCTGATGGTACAACAACTAGAATAGTTAACACCAAAAGACCGGCCATTCTTGTTCATAAATGGTTGAGAGAGTCCTCTTCATGCCACTAGGTCAAGAGTTCGAGGCTGGTAGGCTGCCAAACAAAAATAGAATAGTTAACACCAAAAGTGAAGCGAGTTCATTGGTTGGCAGATTATGACTTCAGTGAAAATCCCAGTCTTCTTGGCTGTCAAACACTTGGGTTTTGGCCAAGGAGGATTGGATGTATTTGTGATGCTGGGAGTTGCTGGCTATGGTGCGACATATATGGTTATATGCTAGGGTAGTATGAAGCCTTCTTCTTGTGCTTTTGGTGTGGGTACCCAAAGTATGGTACTCTTTTGTTAATCACATTGTTTTCAATTTACTATAGAACTATAGAAGACTTGTAAAATCGTTTAGAGTAAGTTAATTTACATGCAGTATCGCCCTTCCCATCATGTTTTAGCTCTAAATCTATTGATGTTGCTCTAATTGAGCTGTGAATTGCTGCAATCCGTTGGCTGATTGCAAACAATGTGATCTGTATAATCCAGTTTGCAAAGATTATGTACTCTTCAATCCAAATGTATAAATTTTCTTATAGCCATAGTTTCCTATCTGTAACAGTTTACCTATTTATCAGATCAATAACCGAAGTTTATTTCTTCTTTTGCTAAATTCATTGCTCGATGTAGGTATGCAGACGCCATTGTGATTCCTCAATGCTAGCACATGTCATGGTCCTTATGATTTCTGTTAAGGTAATTTTGAAACTAGTCAACTTTTATGGGATAATTTTGAAAGAATGTGTGTTTTGCTAGCTTCCTCAATCACCTACATGCAAGTGATGGTTCAGCTTTCATTTCTTCAAAATAGACTACCGTCAAGTTATTTGGTTGTTCTACTGGTATTATATGCAGTTGATGTCAAATTAAGCTTAATTTAGTTAAAAGATTCGACTAGAAATGACCACATTAGGGACAAAGGGTGGAAGTAGCACACATAGAGGTAAAATGAGAAGTCGCTTGAGATGGTTTAACCATGTCCTATGTGGATTTCCAAATACATAAATCCATTGGTATGATACCATGAGGATTGAATGGCTAAAAAGGGATGTACACCTAAAATTTCATGAAAGAAATTCGTACCAAAAGACTGCAATCTCTACGAGGATTCAACGTGGATTTAGCTAAACATAGAAAACAATGGAGGTAAAAGATCATATCAGCAATACTAACCTATGGGATTAAGGCTTATTTGTTTTTCTTGGATTAAGGTTTATTTGTTGTTCTTACACTTATATTATGTCCGGGTAGGGATAAGTGTAGTTGTAGAGAACTTTTTTTTCTTCTTAATAACGGCGTTGTCCAGGCAGAGAAACTCTAGTTCTAGAGAACCCTAATCTGCCATAAAAGACAAATTACTTATTATGTTGGAAGGAAGTGGGTCCAAATAGAAGAATTATAGAGGAGGGATATAAGCTTATAGTGGTGGCCCAAGTGCCAAGAAGCTTCGATTCATATTGCCGAACCCAATTAGTGTTGAGGCTTAGTAGATTTATTGGATGGATAAAGATTTCCTCCTATGAAATTTTCCTGTGAATTGGGTCGAGTGGTTCTATCTTCCACTATTGTGAATGAAATATGCTGCAAAGCTCTAAGCCTAGGTTGGTGCTTTGTTTGTTTATGAAAGTAATATGGTATTTTCCAGGACATACTTTAGCTTGTTGATAACCACGTTTAACTGCCTTAAAAATGCATGTTCTTGGCATTTTCTGCAATTTCTTCATTGACCAGGTTCTTTGTTTGATAGAATGCTTGTCTCAGCGGGTGGTTTACGGAGAAAGATACTGAAGAACTTCGTAATCTTGCAAACGAGGTTGATAAGCTTCCTGATTTGCTATGTGCTTGGTGCTTACCTATCTCTGCTACTTGAAATTGATGTTACATTGATTTTGTTTTCTTTTTTTGTTTGCATATTTAGCTTTCTAGCAGCTTCTGCAGTACATTAGATTTTAAAACTGAACCAAGCAGTTCTCTGACAATTATCTCAACGATAATGTCAAGGTAAGCATCTTGTCCTTGAATGACATCTTCTGAATCTTTTCATGCTATGCTCAACTTATCTCACATGAATAATCTTCCTTATAGATCAAAGTTTAATTTTCATAAAAAATATTTGTGGTTTTACTTGGGGGTTTATTTGATGCTACACTTCTCTAACTTAAAAGTTCATATAAGAGGGATTATCCTAAAATCTTCTACTTGTTGGATAATCTCCAAGCCTTCGTTGTTAAAATACTTCAGTTGCTGTTATGGTACCAGACTGCATAGGAGAGTGATGATAAGGATGCCTGCTTATGTCAAATATCCTATGAGCTACTGACAGTGTAATGAACTAGAAAGCTTGGGTTTGAAATAGGACATAATCTTTTTTTTCAGGAATTAGTTGTGACAGTATATCCATGTCGGAAGGGTAGGAAAACAGAAAGAGGAGAGGAGAGACCTAGAGGTGTTTAAATCAATTTTATCATATTACTAAGAGCCTGAATAGAGTGTATAAATTCAAAACTCATTCAACTTACATAATGTCATGTGCCTTATGGTATAGCCCTTAGTTTTGGGTTTCTTTTTCTTACAAAATCACTTGCTTCGAATTGGCAGATTTTATCCACGGATGAAAATGGGTCAGATAATTTGTTTCCTGGAAGCCAAGGTAAAAACACATCCCCTTGGACGTGTCCAGTGAGCTAGTGTAATTGTATTGCTGGTGATACTGATGCCATATTTTTTTGTCATCTTGTAGCCTGGATTTGGTGCCTACGTGAATGATTTCCAAATAACGAAGAATACGAATCTTTCCAAAGGAGAGAAAGTAGTAAGAAAACTTCTATATATTACAATAAATTACATTTATGTATCTTTTTTCCTTTGCAGCAGGCACATAAGAGTCTCAGTTTTTATTGAGGACATTGTGTGTGCTTTCATTACCAGTATTTTGTTATTCATATGTTCATTGCTCTTGACTTCTTATTTTGCATTCCAGCAACTCGTCAAAGTTGGAGACCCTGGTTAGCTCTGGAAAATATTGCTCATTTTTATGTTTACTTTATTCTGCAGAGATTATTTGTTGCACAAATAGATAATCTGGAGAACTCACTATGTCTTATAACGCCTCCTCAAGTGAAGTATGAAAATCTTTTATCTTTTACTGAGTGTAACGATGTAGGCTTATTGACTCCATATTTGACATGTTAAATTCCTCTGACAATTCTGATTGCCATTCATCTCACTTGTGCAGCTTTCTCCTAAATGGGACGGCAGTGGGGTGGAGGAGTAATGTGTTAATGGTTTGTTACCGCTATAACTTTAGGGATGTGTTTGTATAGGGATGTCTAATGTTTTACTGGGGCTCAAATTACTTAAATTATGTTTCTTTTGCTAGGGCTCTGGACCTCAGCTTCCAACTCCTGTACCTCAAATGCTTAAATTTGGAACAAATCTTCTTCAAGCTGTGGGCCAATTTAATGGTATGTTTGAAGATACATTCCCCGTTTTTTTTTTTCCAAAACTGTATAGTACTAACTCTTCTCTGTGTTCATTGTGCAGGAAATTATATCATAGCTGTTGCCTTCATGAGTGAGATCTCTACCCCTGTTGAGGCCACACTCCCTGATTATGAGCAGCCTCCTGTTTCTTCCGTCGATCCAGGTTTGCTCTTATTCAATTTTTCACAAGAAGAGATATTACTGAGATCTTTTTTGTCAAAGTTTTTGGTGTTTCTGTATTGAGTTTGTTACATGTTCTTGTTAGCCCATTTCGCTAGATGTATTGTTCAAGTTCTATATTCCCACCATTCCCAAATGGGAAGTCTGAAGAGAACTCCTTATAAGGAGAAACGATTAATACACTACTTTGTTGATGCAGATTCTGAGATTATTGAGGGGCCATCAAGAATTTCTTTGAATTGCCCCATAAGGTATGCTTCTAATCTTTGTTACTTTGGAAATTGATATGGCTGTCATTATGAAGTGGCTTCCATTCTCTTGACATGTGTGCAACTTTTCTTTTTCTCTCTGTCCTTCTTTGCTATGTGATGATGATTAATAAAAGAAATTTGATATGCATGATTAGCTTCATCGTTGATGGTGATAGTAAAAGACGCAAATCTCCGTGTTCCCGTTTGTCTCTCTTTCTACCCCCTTATTACCTCAAACTCAAAGTGACACTGCTCTTTGTGCTTTCTTCTACGATGACATGGCTGCCATCTTGGTACCCTCAGTTATTAGAGGTTGGTAAGACCCCCCCCCCACCCCCCCCCCCCAACCACCACCACCAAAAAAAACAAAAAAATGTATGCAAGAAAAAGAAACCTAGTGGGTCTTATTCTGCCATTCTAGTAAGTTGATGGCCTATGTTATGTATTTCTAAACCTATTTTGATCATAAAATATCAATGATAAAAAGTTAGCTCTCATCTAGAAAGAAAGAGAGAATCACCTTAGCTGTGAATTTGATTAGAGTCACTTTAATATATGTACCTTAAGATTTTTGTTGTTTCAGGATGATTGTCTTCATTTATCTGATCTTTAAGACTTTCTAAACGAATAAGGACTCCTGGAGTTATCATAATCCTCTTCCCCATCCATTTAGGAACATGCTTACATTTATGAAAGTTTTGGTGTGTGAATTGGGGTTGATGGCAAAGAAATGACTGAGATAAAGTACTTCCTTGCATAATTTATAATCATATTTCTTATCCTTACCGGTGGGGGTAGCAGGTACCCGGTAGAATAGCCGAGGTGTGCGAAAGCTGGCACGAACACCAATGTCATAAAAGAGCGTGTGTTGTTTTGCGTCAACATAATTTACTTTTGATAAATAATGGTGCATTGGTCATTTCATAAGATTGTTGGCCGTCAACTTAAGAGGTGATATATCTCTAATTTTTCAAAACAGAGAGCCCTTATGGTTGTAATTTACCTTGGGAAGTCCAAGTGCAATTACCTCTTTTACTAGCCCCTACGCATCTTTCTTTACCTTTCAATTTTTCCTGATGCCGGCTGTGGTGTGTTAAATTTACTGATTACTTTTTCTTTGCCTTTACAGCTTCAAACGTATTAAAACTCCAGTTAAAGGACATTCTTGCAAACATCTTCAGGTGCATGTCCTTTTGTATGATCCATAATAAATTATTATTCGATCTCTCATGCTAGAGTAATTTATAGCTGGCATGCATGTTGAAAGGTCGCCTCTGCTTTTCGTCTTTCATTAGCTTTTATTTAAGTTCTTTAATCTGTTAGGATTATGGACATGGCTGATCCTCCAAAAGACATCTGATATATATGGGTTCATATTAGCTTTGATGGATGTTTTAAATTAAGAATATCCTAGCGAGAAGCTTCATGGGCGTAGCTTGTGCGGAATTTATGTGATATTTGTTTTGGTCATTATTTCTTCCCCACTTCTCCTACTCTTACTGGTTTGCTCTCTTTGTGTTTTTCTTGGCAGTGTTTTGATTTTGACAACTATGTCGACATAAATTCAAGGAGACCATCGTGGCGTTGTCCTCATTGTAATCAGCATGTGTGTTTCACTGATATTCGTATCGATCAAGATATGGACAAGGCAAGTTAGCATTCTGTATTATGCTTTACACAAATTACCTGTTGAAGTAACATTGATTTTGTTTTAAAGGTTTTGAAAGAGGTCGGCGAGGATGTCACCGACGTCATGATCAGCTCAGATGGTTCATGGAAGGCAATCATGGAAAGTGATGACCATTCTGAGAAACCCAGGGATAAAATTCCTGACTTTACTCAAGATAGCCCACAGCGAGGTTCTGATAGCTTTTCAAATACCCCCGCTGATGTTATGGATCTTACTGCTATAGATGATGAAATAAATCCAATGGCTACCTCTGAAACTGAAGACAGTAAAAATTTCCCATCGATCCCTAATATTCACTCTAATGTTCAGAACACAACTGTTGTGAATAATCCAAGTGAAATCGATCATACAGGTGGTTCTGATATGGCAGACGATTTCTGGTCAAGAATGTATATGTCCTCGTGTGGAATAGGGACATCAGGTTCTTTGTCCAGTTTGCAGAATGGCAGTGCTTCTGAGCCTTCTAGAACCAACTTGTTGCAACCACCTGTTTTGACAGATGCAATATCTCCCGCTTTCAATCCTGAAGGAAATGCTCTTATTCCAACCTCTATACTTGAGAGTGGACTATCTTCTTCTGATATGATGCAGTTACAACAGTTCCAATTTGGAAACTCTGCAATCAGCAACGAATATGGAAGGTTTCCATCTGCAGCGAGGCATGCAAACAGAACTCCTGTTGCAGTTCAGGCTCTTTCAGCGCTTCCAGCCCAGGTGCAGACTCCTGTTCCTCAGAGACAACAAAGCGCAATGAATCCCTTGCTCCATACTGGTCCTTCAGTAGCTACTCAGGGTTTGCCGACTGTTTCATTGGATGGTTCCAATGTAAGAAGTGACTTGGAGAGACAGCAGTGTTCCGTTCCTGACTTGGATCTGCTTCAGGCACGCATGACTTCGTCAGCATTACCACAGAAGGTGAGTGCACAGGTGAATAATTTTTCAGCTATATCTTTTAAGTTGTGATTAAACTGTAAGTCTTTCTTTGCTGGTTTTGGTCTGTGAGATTTTTCCTTCAGGTGTGATCGCTGAAACATTGCATGTGCTCTGGTTGAGAAGATCATCACCTGTCTGTATAGGGCGTGTTTGCTTGAACTTTCTAGGAGTTCCTTGACCGCCTAATTTTGCTTGTTTTGCTTACTATCACAGATTTTCTTCTTTTGAGGCTGCTTATAATATATCCAACTTCCTTTGTCTCTGCATATATCTTTATTCTGTCTACTGTCTATGGCTTCTAATATCCTCTCCTTTTGTCTTCTTTTTATTATCTTGAGCAGAGAGTCTTTCGGAAACAGCCTCTCTACCCCTTCGGGGTAGGGGTAAGGTCTGCGTACACACTACCCTCCACAGACCCCACTCGTGGGATTTTACTGGGTGGTTGTTGTTGTTGTTGTTGTTGTTGTTGTCTATGGCTTCTAATTATCCTTTTTCCTTATGCTAGCGTTCTCTTGCTCCTCTTCAACCATCTCAACAGGTTGTTGGCCGTCAAACTCCGAACCTGAGAACACCCTACCCGATGAGCCAGTCTGAAGGCCTGACCCGACAAGCTACTTTGGATAGATGGGAAGCACTGAAGAAAGGAAGTTCACAAGGTGTTACTCGGGCAACAGGTCTTGCTGGCGGACAACACACCCGAGTTGTCGCTACTCAGCAAACCACACAGGTGGTGAGGCCTGTTCAGACTCCTAGAACTGCATCTCCAGTACTCCCTGGGAATTCTGACGGATTTAGGACACCATTGGCCCGGGACCAGAGGGGGAGTACAGGAGGCACAACACCAGTCACAAGGACAGATAGTTCCGGGGATGTCCAGCTAGATCCTAACTGGCGCCCTACAGGCCGTATGCGTGGAAGCCTCTCTGGACGAGCTTATTCTGAAGCACTGAATCAGTACATACTTCAGCCAACACAGCAAACTCAAGCTCCCAGACCATCTGTCCCACCTAATCTTTCGCCCCAACTGCAAGTCTTTTTGGCTAATAGAGGCGCTCATAGTACCCAGCCTGTGAATCATCCATCCACAACACCAGCCAATGCACCAGATGTCTCAGGCGTTTTACCTGATCGTTCTTCGGGAATGCAGTAGAACTAGGACAGGCATGTAGGTAACAGTGTATATAACGCAACTGATTTTGCTTCCATGGTCACCTTACAGTACAGACACCTAGTTTGGTGTTATAGTTCAGTTATGGGGGAAATGTGGTGTATTTATTTTGTAAAATTAAAGTCCAGAAACCGCTCTCTCCTAGCTCATGCACTACATTTTGACTTTAATGTTATGGCGAGTATAGTTTGGTTAATATGACGTGGCAAAAAACAGTTTTATGACTTTACTATTATGCTAGGTAAAGCTTAGTGGCCATATGTGAAATTAACCCGATTTTTGATTTGTATAAAAAACTACGCTCTATCTTCCCTGAAAGCGATTTAACTAAGAAAATCTAAGAAAGATGAAAAATTCCAAATAACCTTATCAAAAAAAAAAATTTAATGAAAAATTCCAAATATGGATGACTGACTTATAGTAACAAAAATAGAACGTCACCTTCATATAAATAAAAAGATGCTATCTCTCCTAATATGGACCGTGTCATTACATAAGTGATATCATAAATCCAATTACAACTATTACATAAATGACATCATTGGATAGGTCTAACGACCGATATTGAACGAGGTCATCACGATGTAGCGGCCCATGGTCGTTATATAAGGCAGCGACCAAAAGTGGTTAACGAATGTACGGCGTCTACCGTAGTGTAAGCGTAGTGGAAGAAAGCATAGTGGGAGACAGTAGGAATATGCTTTTCGAATATTCTTGATGTTGTACATTTTTAGGGTTTAAAAGGGGATTGTCCCTTATAAATAGAGGGAGAACACTTTGTAAAAGGGGATCAAAAAAGGTGAATACAAAAGAGTACACTGATTACAGATCTGAAGTTTGGCATCTCTGTCCGATATTAAGAAGGATCCTACAATCATCTAAACATCATCTTCTATCTAGGTCACTCGCATTCATCACAACTGATTCCTGCATTTAAAGTTATCGCATTTATGAGCAATCATTCGATTCCGACATACTAGGAAGTATCATTCATCTGTTTATCTCTTGCACCACTTAATCTAGATTTTATTATACTTGGCTGAGATTATCCTCTTCATCTTCATTAATTGATTTAATCAAAAAGGTTTCGATATCTTTTGGTCAAACAATTTGGCGCCGTCTGTGGGGATTTCTTTAGCTAAGATTTTAGTTTCATCTAGATCATAAAAAGGGATAGTCACCTCTTCCTAGTTTTGCATAAACTAACAATGGCAGAAAAAGGAGATGCAAGGTTAAAAGCAATAGCAAGTGTCACAACCAACATCCTGGATTCCATCAACGAAGACGGTAGGGAAGATAGCGAAAACGTGACACCAAGCGCTACACCTAGGGGAGATACTTCACCTCCCCCGCATGAAAGCGTGACTGCTTCGCGCGAGAAGGAAGCCTCCACGTCTGCAACAAGAGAGGCACCACCGACGGTAAAAAGACTATTGGAAGAGTGGCTGACAAACACTCTGAACAACATACTTGATAAACCCGTTCAAAGGGATAATAGAGGCATTACACATATAGCTGCCGCAACAATCGCCGGCGAACTGGATACCCCACGCACAGGTAACATTCATACTATTGTTGATACAGGTAATGACGCACTCGCAGCCATCCTAAAGAAAATGGAAGAAATGGAAAATGAGAACAAGGCGCTCCGCGACTAGATGAAGGAGCATCAAGAAAGGGTCGATAAAATACCAGGCGCCCCGAAGTTGTTACCGAAACGGGACGTTGATCGATTTATCGAACAACCATACAATGAAGAGGCAGCCCCCCACGCCATTCCAAATACCTTCAAAATGCCACTGTACCTGAAGATATACGATGGTGCTACAGGCCAGGAAGATCATATCATCCACTACGTCACAGCCGTAAAAGGCAACGATCTGTCGAAAGAACAAGTACCATCGGTGCTGCTGAAAAAGTTCGGCGAAACCCTAACAGGGGGAGCCCTGACTTGGTACTCGCAATTACCAGCACGGTCAATATCAACATTCGAAGAAATGGCGGACACATTCATCACCGCTCATGCATGAGCGAAAAAGGCGGAGGCCAGGGTAAACGACATATTCTCCATTAGATAGACGACGGGTGAAGGACTTAGGGACTTCCTATCCCGATTCAACAGGGTGAGAATGATCCTACCAAATATGTCAGAGGGGATGGCGGTAGCAGCCTTCCAGAACGAGTTAAGCTGGAGTAGGTCGAGAGCGACCAAAAAACTGTTAAATAGGCTCATGAAATACCCTCCCACCACTTGGGAAGAAATCCACAACGGCTATTGCGCCGAAGTAAGGGCAGGTGAGGAAGACCTCAATGGTCCGATCCAACGGCTGACGTCAGTAAAAATTAAAGCAAGGAAAGATCGTCGCAATGATGGTCGAAGGGATCAACTACCCCATCTCAGCCGAGAAAGGCATCAGCCTTACATCAGGACATCCATCCCACCTCCTCCACGACATACCGCGCCACATCGAAACGAAAGAGGTATGCCTCCACTCTTATCTGCTCATAACTTTTGTGTTTCTCCTTTAGAAATAGTGTATGCACTAGAGAAGCTCGGCCCAAAGGTGCACTGGCCGCAAAAGATGAAGTCCGACCCGAGCACCCGAAAGGACACCTGAAAGAACTGTTGAGCGACCGAGGACGGGCTAACTTCGCTCGCGGACGTGATCAACCCCAGGGACCCCCAAAACCGCCTTCGCCCGCCTGTACCATACAAATGATCATCGGTGGAGTCAATGATACGACAATCAATCACGTAAATTTTACCACTACGCACAAACTCAAACGGTCGATCACTCATGAACGGTACGATGACCTCGAAGATAGTATCGTCTTCAATAAATCAGATACCGACGGTTTGTTTTTCCCTCACTATGATGCTCTTGTTATCACTCTACGTGTTGCGGATACTGATGTAAAAAGAATAATGGTAGATGACGGAAACGGCACGTGTATTATCCATCATCGAGTCCTCGTACAGAGGAGACTCGAAGATAAAATAATACCGCATTGCATAACACTAACGGGTTTTAACAATGCAGTTGAACGAACTTCTGGAGAGATAGTGCTGAAGGAGTCACTCTGAAACAACATTTCATGTCTTGGATCAAGATACAGCCTACAACGCTATCATAGGGCGCCCATGGATACACGCCATGCGAGCCATCCCGTCGAGTCTCTATCAAGTAATCAAGTTTCCCACTCCATGGGGAATATTCAGCATCCGGGGCGAACAACGCACCGCACAAGAGTGTTACCGTATCGCCCAGGATTGCGCACATACCCAGCAACTAAAAGGAGCAAGCGCGGAAGCATAGCAATCAACAATGTCGGGAACCAAACTCGACGTACAAATAGAGGCTATCAAAGACCCCGACATCGTAGAAGCCTACGAGTCGACCGTTGAGAACCTCGATCCCGTCTAACTGGACAACAATGATAGCACAAAAAAGGCTGATATCGGGCACAACCTCTCGGAACCAGGTAAGTTTCGTAAATTCTTAACTGACAATGCCGATCTATTTGCCTTCTCCCATGCAGATATGCCAGGTATCCCGAAAGACATCGCCACGCATAAACTGAATGTTGACCCCCTCTACCCGCCAATGCGGCAAATAAGGAGGAAGTTCAACGCCGCAATCAACGAAGCCGTCAGCGAAGAAGTCGATAAGTTGCTCGCAAATGGATCCATCCGAGAGTCAAAATATCCCCAGTGGGTCGCCAATGTGGTCATGGTAAAGAAGCAAAACGGAAAGTGGCGGATGTGTGTAGATTTCACAGACCTAAACAAGGCATGCCCAAAAGACTCATTTCTATTGCCACACATCGACCAGCTCATCGACGCAACAGCAGCGCCTGAGTTGCTAAGCTTCTTAGATGCCTACTCGGGTTACAACCAGATCCTCATGGAGGAAGAAGACCAGGAGAAAACCACTTTCATCAGTCATCGAGGAACGTACTGCTATAAGGTCATGCCATTCGGACTAAAGAATGCAGTGGCGACGTACCAGAGATTGGTCACCAGGATGTTCAAAGACCAACTCGGCAAAACAATGGAAGTCTACATCGACGACATGCTGGTTAAGTTGAAAAGGAAAGAAGATCATACCGATCATCTGAAGGAAGCCTTCGACATATTAAGGTAGTACGGCATGAAACTAAACCCCGAAAAATGCACCTTCGGCGGAACCTCGAGCAAATTCCTCGGTTTCCCGGTATCGCAAAGAGGCATCGAGGTCAACCCAGATTAGATTAAGGCCATCGAAGGAATACCGAATATATTAACCAGCAAAAAATAGGTACAAAAACTGACAGGTCAGATAGCCGCCCTGTCGAGGTTCATCTCACGGTCGTCAGATAGGTGTCATAAATTATTCAGTGTGCTGAAGAAAGATAACAGGCTCCGGTGGAATTCGGAGTGCGTCTACGCCCTGAGAAAACTGAAAACCTACATGTCCTCAGCGTCGTTACTCGCCAAGGCAGATCTAGGCGAATGCCTCGTTGTCTACTTAGCCGTCTCCGAAGTCGCGGTGAGCGCGATTTTGGTCCATGAAAACAAAGGTACGCAATCTTCGATTTACTATATCAGCAAAACGTGAGTCGATGTCGAAACGAGGTATCCCCACCTCGAAAAATTGGCTCTGGCATTGGTCGTAGCTTCACGTAAGCTCAGACCATATTTTCAGTGTTACCCCATAAAGGTGGTGACGTCCTTTCCCCTCAGGAACATCCTGCACAAACCCGAGCTGTCGGGTAGGTTGGCCAAATGGGCCATAGAATTGAGCGAGCACGATATAACATATCAACCGCGAACTGCGATAAAATCACAAGTACTCGCTGACTTCATCGCTGACTTCAGTGCGGAAATACTATCTGAGGTCGAGCAAGAAGCTCTTCGCGCCTCCCCTAGGCGACCCGACCTCTGGGTCCTCTACTCCGATGGCGCATCTAACGCGTTAGGATCTGGATTGGGACTCGTACTCGAAGTCCCAACGGGCGAAGTGATTCGCCAATCCATACGGTGCCCTGAAATGACTAACAATAAGTCCGAGTATGAGGTTGTAATTACAGGATTGAAATTGGCCCTCAAATATGGTGCATGACGAGTTATCCTCCGCTACGACTCTCAGCTTTTCATAAACTAAGTTACTGGAACTTTCCATATCAAGGAGCAGAGGCTACAGAAATACCAGACCAAAATCCACAAGCTGCTACCAGAATTCGA